CCAGTATTCTGGCCTGGAGAATTCCATGGACAGAAGAGCCTGGCAGGCACAGGCCATGGGGTCGTAAAGCTATTAATTTTTAAAGGGAAATAACAAGTATCAACATTTAGACAGATATTCTTCCATGCTGCCTTCTCCCACATCCCCTCTCACTGAACTCGGGGACCTTGGGAAGCCGCTTTCACACCTTCTCCTAACCCCTCTTATTACCTGGCTCCTCAAGGAGAACAGAGCAGCTGGGATGGATTCCTCTGGCTTCTAAGTTGGAAGTGAAGCCTGAAGGTACTCTGCAATCCTTGGAGGAAAAAATGCAGATAAACAGTCTTGCTAGATGTTTGTCCACATCAGAGCACTAGAGATGCCAAGAACTCCCGCCGGGAGGCTGACTCACAGGCCGGTGGGGGTGGGGCTGGGTGACTCTCCCGCTGCTGATGTCAAATCCCATCAACCACATAGCAACCAGCTCTCCACTCTCTCCGAGGGAGCAACAGGAAAATGCAGAGAAGCCAATGGGAGGAACAGGTGCCCCAGACTACATCCTGGAAACCCTTCCAGGCGCTGTGGCTGAAAACTCCTTGGATTAGGATGTAAAATCAAACATCCAAAGAAGCCACCATTCACTCCCATTAATCAGCTGAATGGGATCCAAACGCTGAATGAGCCAAGCCAAGGGAGTCTGACCCAGGGAATTTCCCCAACCTTGCCTGTGTCAGCAGTTCCTGCAATTATTATGGAACCCTGGTGACCCAGTTTCCTCAACCTGATTTTCATTTCAGAAAAATGCAAAGGTTCTGACCTTAAAATTTAAGGTCAATGGACCTAACTAGGAAATAGATTCCTACTTAAGTAGGAAATCGATTTTTAAATTCCATCGTAAAGAAGAGTGCCTCAAGGAAAAACTTTTGGTTCCAAAAGAAAATTGGGAGTCAACAGGTGGGGCCAAAGAGAAAGGCTTGGATCTGAGTACTTGCTTTCTTTATCTCCACAGGCCTAACAGTACTTCTTTCTTTCAGTATTGAAGTATAGTTGACTTACAACATTACAGTAGTTTCAGGTGTACAACATAGTGACTTAAAATTTTTTACAGTTTACATTCCATATAAGGTTACTGTAAAACACTGGCTGTATTCCCTGTGCTATACATTACATTCTTGTATCATTTATTTTATACATGGTTGCTTGTCCCTCTTAATTCTCTTCCCCTATTTTGCACCTCCCCCTTTCCTTCTCCCACTTGGTAAATACGATATGCTTGTCTATTTTTGCTTTTTTTTTGCAATTCTACTTATGATATTTATTGAAGGAAAACAAAAATACTAATTCAAAAAAATATATATGCACCCCCATATTCATTGCAGCATTAATTTATTTTTAATTGAAGGATAATCACTTTATAGTACCGTGTTGGTTTCTACCAAACATCAACATGAATCTGTTTCTGTTTTGTCTTGTTTGTTCATTTTAATTTTCAGTGCTCCCTCAAAGAGGGCAGCAATGGTTCTAAAAAGGTCACTTTCCGTGGTCACATGGCTACTTCACAGAGCTCCCATGACTCCTGGGGCGTTCCCAGCCTTCCCTTATACTAGGTGAGGAAATTCCCTTAGAAATTCCCACAGCTTGCCTGCCTGCCTATTTCCCCTGGCCCAGGCACCAGGCACCAGGCCCTGGCTGACCGTCATCCATCTGTCCGTCCATCCAGCCCATACCGTGATGCACATCACCTGCCGGATGGTTTTCCCCAGAACAGGGAGGCGGCCTCAGCTGGAGCAGGGGCCCACATCCCACAGGGAGGCCCTGAAGTACCGCTCCACTCCCCTGAGTCACAGGCCCCAGGCGACCCTCTGGGGTCGCCTAAACCTTGACCCAAGTGCTAGATTTCCCTCTGTCTGCCCTTTTCTACTCAAAAGCACACAGTAAACATTTTCTCTCACTTCCTGAAGAAGCCCGGAATAGGGGCGGTTTGGAAGTGACAGAGAGATGCTGCAAAGGTAGCCACACTGGCCACACGCTAACGAGTCACCTTTGAGCAGCCTCCCATAAATTGGAGGCTTTTCAATGAAAAGCAGCAAGACAACGATCAAAAGCTGAGCCTTAGAAACGGAGAGAGTTTGAATCAACTAGCCGACTGATCTGAAACACATACTTGGACAATTTAACTTCACACAGCCCATTTCCTCTTGTGTAAAAAGTAAGATAGGCACGCTTTGCAAGATGACTGTAAAAATTAGAGCTAATGTATAATGTGTCCAGCACAGAGTAGATGTTCAATAAGTGGTAATTATAATGAAATAAAGGCAGGGACACAGTGAGAGGGGACAACAGAAGCCTGTTGATGGCCCCCTTGGAAAGCTACAAAAATGCTAAACCAGCAGACACGAGTTGAGCACCAAGGTTACACCTCATTCAGGCCCTGGGTGTTTCCTCTTCAGCCCCAGTCCAGGGCATGCTGGCAACACGAACATTTTGTCAAACAAATGGGCATGTCCAGAGACTGATATCAGAACTGGCAAGGACCTTCAGGGCCATCCGGTCAGCACCCCATTTCATACTTGGGAAAACTGAAGCCCAGATAGACAAAGGGACAAGGGCCCATGACCAGAAGCCACAGTTACAGCTCAGGTCTCCAAACTGCCAACGAGGAGCTCTTCCCTGCAGCTCCAAGTACTTGAGAGGGTCACATACTCAGTGGATTTCCAAGAATACTCAATGAAAGGAAAATTCCGAAGGCATAATATTAACACAAAAAGCAGGGTACAAAACTTCGTCTTCAGTTTCCTACTTCCAATATTTTAATACATGAATACAAGTATGTGCATAAAGTACTGTAAAGAGGTTCATGTTAAGAGTGGTTCTTTGGACTAGGGGCTAACAGATGACTTGAAGAAAAAAAATCCCAAATTTTCTAGAGTGAACACACATTGCCTTCATTTTTAAAAAGTCACAAAGTTTCTGGTTAAGGTACAGCAGAAGGTGAGCGCCCTTTAAACTCTTCTTCCCATTGCTCCGGAAGACTGTATTTTAGCAAAAACAAATGAGCAACCCTTTCTCCCAGGCAATGGAAAGAATGGACAGTAATCATCTCCCTCCCGGACATCCGGTCTTCACTGAGGATCACTTTGAAACTACTTCTGCCCAGACTGTAATCACATGGTGGCCTCACTACTTCCTGGTCAAGAAGCCAATGCTGATTCTACAAGGCTTGAAGGCCAGGTCAGATGCAGTCAGCAAGGTGAGGAGAAACCCCCAGGCTCTGGCAAGGGGCAGCGTGGAGGGTATGCCAAGCTCAGAGCTCTTGCCTTCCACCCCCAGCCCCACCCCCAGCTGCTGGAGTCCAGGGACAGGTGGAAATATTTGCAGAAACATTTGTTGCCTTGCCAGTCTTACCAACTAAACAGTGTCTAAAAGTCAAATCAACAGCTGAAAAACAGCCAAATGTGTCTTCAATAGAAACATAAGGTGACCTATACACACTGTGCTTTAGTTTCTTTAAAAAAAAAATTTTTTTTTTTGGCTTTGCCAAGTAGTTTCTAACGGAGATCCTGCAGCAATGTCCTGGGCAGTCGTGCAGGCACATGGGAAGGGCATGAGAGTGGGAGGTCTCCCAAGCAAAAACTCAAAAGATGCAGAAGACACAGTCAGCTGGGTTCAAATGCTGGCACGCACAGCCACAGAAGCCGCACAAGAGGACAAGGTCCTTGATTCCCTGGACCTCAGTTTCCCCTTTCCACTTCAGTGTGATAGCAACCCTTTAGATAACTGTGACAACTACTGTACAAAATGGCTTTTTATTGTATATAACAAACTTATAAGTGATGTTATTGTCATTATTACCATCAATGATGTAAGAGAGGGGCCAAGGTAGGTGGAACCTCTCATTCTGGCAAAGCCTGTGTGCATGTGTGCAGAGGGGCTGGGGGTGGGGGTGAGGGTGGGGCAAAGGGCCCCCAGGTACATTTGAGCAGCAGCCTCTGGCCAGGCTGTTCCTTGTCCTCCTCTTCCTCAAACAGACAGGCTCAGAGCATTCACCTCCCAACCCTGCACACATCAGACTCTTGACTTGGTGCACAAATACTTCAACACCAAATGATAAAGAATTTTTCCTGAAAACCCAAGGCATCATCTTCCCACTCCACAGCAACATAGCATGAAGTCCTGCACCTCCAGCCTCTGCCCTGAATGCTCCCACATTCACCCAAGGCAAGAACCTGGATGGCCTGCCTCATGAGTGGCCGAAGCTGCAGCTTTGAGCTGCAGACAGGACTTCAGGCCCCTTCACCAGCTGGGCCCAGAAAACACAGCTGCTAACACACTTTCCTGCCCCCACACAGCCACGTTCACCCAGAGAGGAACCTGAGGCTCACACACCTGCAGCAGCTTATACAAAGCCTTTAATTACTACCAACGGTCTTAGCCGAAATCCTTGGAGACTCAGGTGTCTACAGAAGGGGTTATGTTGACTCAGGGCCATCCATGTGGGAAGAGCTTGGGTCCATAATGATCAATTACTCTCAGGACAGGCTGGCAACCCACGCAGTCAATTTTGGGTCAATCTGGCTCTGCGATTGCTCTGGATGGGAACCGCCTCTCAGGCTCTCCATCTGTGAACGAGGATGCAGCTACTGCAACAATTCACAGTTCATACCGTCAAAAGGGAATACTCATTAAGTCACAGGCTGGGGCATTTCATCCAGCTGTCCAAGTGCTGAGGTCTAGTCCCAGGTCTGGACAAGAGAACTAGAGTCCAGGACAACGGGTTCGAAGCCTGGCTCTCCTATATCCTACCTGCGTGACCTTGAACAAAGTCACTTTAGCTTTGAAGGCTGAGTTTCTTCATTGATAAAATTTGGGATGGGAATTAGCTCCTGTTTCGGATTCATTCTGCTTTTCAAAAGCTGGATTCTGGGAGTCTCCTCAGAGCTGTAAATGCCTGATCAAAAAACAGCCAAACATCGCAGATAACGAAACTAGGGGCTCCAGGCCCCGTCCTTAGGTCCTGTTCCTCACGCCGGGGGAAAGACCTCCGCCTCCCCTCCTGCCACTGCCAGGCAGAACCCGGGGCCGCGTGTCGCAGGCCGGCAGGACTGGGCGCCCATCAGGTGCCAGTCAGGAGGGAGGAACACAGTGCCGCGTCCGCACGCCTTTGAGACCCACGTGCGCTGCTCCTTTAAATGTCCCGGCCCTTTAACAGATCGCACCGCGCCCACTCCGGCGGGGGCTCCGGCGGCGGGGAGAACCCGACCCGGCTGAAGGCCCGAGGCCTGGAGCGGCTCCCTGCGCTCCTTCCACTGGCCAGTTCCGGGCCGGCCCCCAACGCAGCGGTCCCGGCGCCCTCCCCTCCCCAGCCGCTGGGGCCGCAGCCCCGGAACCGCCCCGAGGCCGCGACCCGCCGGGGCGAGGGGCGTGCGGAGGGCAGGGCCCCGCCTGCGGAGTGCAGGTCCACCTCGCGCCCCTCGAGCGGCGGGCGATCGGGCCCCCACCCGTGCGCCCCTTCCAGCCGGCTCACCTGCTACGCCGCGCCGCACCGCTCCAGCGATGTTTACGCGGCTGGCCCAGCGCCCGGCAGACCCGGTGCCGGCGCAGGCCCCGCCCCCGGCCCGCCCCGGCCCCGCCCCGTCGGCGACGCCAGGCTCCCGGGTCCACGTCCGGCCGCACTGGAGCCCGGGCACCGCGTAGGCGAGGCCGGGCTTCCCACCGTGAGCCGCAGGGATCGGGGAATGAAGCTGACATTGGACTGAGCACTGACCTGAGGGAGTGGAGGCCGCACCTGTAATGTGAGAGGGCTTTGCGCACCATGGGGCGGTAGTGCGTTTGCTTCGTGAACAATCTCCTGTCTTGCAGTTTTAGGTTCCGGCATCCCCCTCTCCCACCTCCCAGGATTTAAAAGGGAGCACTAGAGACTGGTGTGAGCTAACATCTTGAGAATTTTCCCAGTCTGTTTTCTAGAGCTTCCAAACTACCAGGAGCACTAGATCAAATTAAGCATGGATGAAATCGCTACCCAGGCCCTGAGAATTGACCTAGTTGTTTCCAGGATTTGGGGTCCATGGGGTGAGTTGAGATGGTCAGTAATCTGATATTTCTGAGTAGCTTCACTTACAATAAAAAATTAAGGGGAAATCCGTGCAACGTAAAATTAACTATGTAAAGTGTACAATTCAATGGCATTTAGTACGTTCCTGATATGTAGGTGGCTCGATCCTAGCCACCTCGGTCTGTTTCTAAAACATTTCCATCAATCCAAAATAAAACCTCCTACCTATTGAAATGCTTTCTTCACATCCTCTTCTTCCCTCAGTCCCTGGCAGCCTATTGACCTATTTTTGATATTTCATATAAATGAAGTCATAGGGTATGTGACCTTTTGTAACTGACTTCTGGCACTTAGCATAAATGTTTTCAAGGTTCATCCACATTGTGGGGTGGATCAGCACTTCATTCCTTTTTAAGACTGGATAATATTCAATTACATGTATATCACAGTTTGTTTATCTGATCATCCACTGATGGGCCTTTGTGCTGTTTCCACCTTTTGGCAATTGTCAGTGGTGCTGGTAAAAATGTGTGTACATATATTTGTTTGAGTACCTGTTTTCAGTTCTTTGGGGTATATACCTAGGAGCTGTATTGCTAGATCATATGGAAATTCTATTTTTAACTTTTTGAGGAATGGTCAAACAGCTCTCCATAAAGCTGAACCATTTTACACTCCTACCAGCAATGAACAGAGGGTTCCAATTTCTCTACATCATCCATCACTTGTTATTTTCCATTAAATTTATTATTATTGTTGTTGTTGCCTTCCTAGTGGGTATAAAGGTTTTATTTTGCATCTCCCTGTTAATTGGTGACGTTGAGCATCCTGCACTTGCTGACCATTTATATATCTTTGGAGGAATGTCTATTCGGGTCCTTTGCCCATTCTTAATCAGGTTATCTTTTAGTTGCTGAGTTATAAGTGTTCTATATATATTTGCTCTATATCAGACTCCTGTCAGATACATGATTTGCAAATATTTTCTCCTATTTTGTAGGCTGTCTTTTCACTTTCTGATAATGTCTTTTAATGCACATGCATCTGCGTGCTCAGTTGCTCAGTCATGTCCAACTCTTTTGCAACCCTGTGGACTGTAGCCCACTGAGCCTGAACATGGGATTTCCCAGGCAAAAGTACTGGAGTGGGTTGCCATTTCTTTCTCCAGAGAATCTTCCTGACCCAAGGATCGAACCCGCATCTCCTGTGTTAACATATGGATTCTGCGCCACATGGAAATCTATGCACATGGGAACCTCTGCACCACATGGGAAGTCCTTTAATGTACATAAGCCTTTAATTTTGAGGAAGTCTAGTTTATCAGTTTTTTCTTTTATTATGCATTTGGTGTCATATTTAAGAATCTATTGCCAAATCCAGAGTCAATAAAATTTACCTCTGTGTTTCTTCCAAGAGTGTTATGGTTTTAGAACTTGCATTTAGATTATTGATACATTTTGAGTTAATTATTGTATATGGTATGAGGTCTAGGTCCAGCTTCATTCTTAGGCATGTGGTTAATTGTCCTAACACCATTTGTTGAAGAGACTGTGCTTTCCTCCAGAGAATGGTCTTGGCCTCCTTGGCAAAAAATCAATGGGCTATAGATAAATGGGAGAACACCCAAATTTTAAAAAGAGCAATTTAAATGGAAATTAATCCAAGATGGAAATGGGGCAGATCAGCATTTCGACAGACAAAATAATGATCCAAAGAATAACCATTGATGAATTAGAGAAATTAATTACAAGTAACAGAAAGAATTATTAAGTAATAGGTTCTTAAAAGTATAAGGCTCCTTGAGGGTCACAAACTTCAACTCTAACTGATGTATGAACCATCTCTGCAGAGTCCCCAAGAAAGGACTTTCCAGGCATATTTCTTGTTTTGGGAACTTTCAGTTTTGTAATGTGGGCCTCTCAGGTGGCGCAGTGGTAAAGAATCCAGCCCCCCCCCACCCACCCGCATCCCCCAGCTGGAGTAACAAATGACAACACATTCCAGTGTTCTTGCCTGGAAAATTCCATGGACAGAGGAGCCTGGCAGGCTACAGTCCATGGTGTCACAAAGAGTCAGACACAACCTAGCAACTACACAAGCAGTGTACATATGTTAATTGCAAACTCCTAATTTATCCCTCCCCCCACCACCTTTCCCCTTTGGTAACCATAAATTTGTTTTCAAAGTCTATAAGTCTGTTTCTGTTTTGTAAATAAGCTCATTTGTATCATCTTTTTAGATTCCACATGTAAGTGATACCATATGATATTTGTTTTTCTCTGACTTTATTTAGTATGATAACCTCTAGGTCTATCCATGTTGTTGCAAATGGCATTATTTCATTCTTTTTTATGGCTAAGTAATATTTCATTGTATATATGTACCATATCTTCTTTATACATTTCTCTGTTGATGGACATTTCAGTTGAGTCCATGTGCAAACTGGATTCCTGTCCCATGTAATCACTGAGGCCACCGTTCCACTATCTCATTGGTCAGCCGCTGACTTGACATAGATCTCCTTAAACACCTGGAGCCAACTCCTTGCACTCCCAAAGTGAGAAGAAACCTCTCCTGGTCTTTATAGATTGGTCCTGAACAGGGTACTCCTGCTGCACTTAACCAGGCCACCTGAACTCTGCCTTACTCTTTACTTTCTGCTTGAGTGGAAGGTCAGTCAAAAGTGCAAGCCTAGGGTCCTCTTGGATCTTTTCTGAGCCTGTATCTAGCCCTAGACATGTGTGTTGCAGTCTGGACTCCCTGGTAAAAGAGGTAGCCCTTCAAAGCCTTTTTGCTTCTAGTATCTTCCTCCTTAGCCTCCCCCTTCCCAGACTTTTTGGTTCATCTGCTGCTTAACCTCATCTGCTGCCTCTTGCCCCAGACAACTATGGGTCCTGTATGTCTTTGTGTGTGTTAGTTGCTCAGTTATGTCCAACTCTTTGCTGCCCCATGGACTGTAGACCCACCATGCTCCTCTCTCCATGGAATTCTCCAGGCAAGATTACTGGAATGGGTTGCCATTCCCTTCTCCAGGAGATCTTCATGACCCAGGGAAGCTTCTGGATGTCTTTTAAGTCTTTTCAAAAGATGCTCCTTGGAAAGCTACTCTAGGCTGAGGGGAGTGACGCAAAGGTCAGCCTCTGTACCAGTCCCTCTGGGACTGCCAGCTGGGCCACAATGGAAAACCACATTTTTGAGAACAAGGTCTGTGTGGCCCGGTCTGGCACCAGCAAGCCATAGCAGGGGTTCAGGCTGCTCGTCCTCCTGTCTGCTGCTGGGAGAATGGAAGACGGTGGGTAGGTAAGCAAAAATGCTGCGACAATTTCTTACTGAAATTTAGCAGCCTCTTTCTTCATGAGTCACTCCTCTGGTTGTTCTAATTTTTTTTTTTTTTTTTAGATTCCAGAGTTCTAAAAAAGCGGATTCTGCCAGTTCTTATAAGCCTAATGGTTGCTTAAGTGGAGGGACTGATTCTTGAAGCTCCTTGTTGGTCATTTTCCATAACATCATTCCTAAACAGTCTCCGTTTTACCAGTGGACACTATTGACGGAACAGTTTTCTCCTTGAAGCCATGCTCCCCTGTTTCCCTCCTCCCTGGTGAACTTCACCTCCTCTGCCCTGTTCTGCTTCCAGCTGTCGGTAGGGTTCTGTTCTCACCGTGCAAATCTTCTTGGGGAATCCAGCCATGACCCAAGCTGTCACCTCCATGTTGGTGAATCTCAACTTAGTCCTCTCCTCAGAGCCCCAGACATGTGGACCACCATCCATGGACCACTCCACTCAGAAATCCCACAGATCACTCTAGGTGAAGCTGTGTGAGAAAGTTCTGGCTAATAGGATGGAAGGAGAAGGGATTCATCCTTATTCTCATTCTTCTTGCTATCTGAAACATGGTGGTGATAGCCAGAGCTCAAGCAGCCACCTTGGACCATGTCAGCCATGGGGATGGAGAATCAGTAAAGTGGAAGGAGCTGTGTCTTTGATAATTGTGGAGCCACTGGCTTAGAATTGCTTACTTCCTTACTCTGTCTCAGGAGTGTCTGGTGGCTCAGACAATGAAGAGACTGCCTGCAATACAGAAGACTGGGTATCCATCCATGGGTCAGGAAGATCCCCTGGAGAAGGGAATGGCAACCCACTCCAGTATTCTTGCCTGGAGAATTCCATGGACAGAGAAGCCTGGCGGGCTACAGTCCATAGGATCACAAAGATTCAGACTTGACTGGTCAACTAACACTCTGTCTTAGGGAGGAAAAGCAATTTTATCTTGTTATTTGTGAGTCCCTCACATGGAACTAAACCAAAGTTTGCTTAATACACAAGATGCTTCCAGCCCTATTCGCCTTACACCATTGCCCCACTGGCTGCACTAAAGCACACGCAGCTCTCACTGCTAGCATCCCTCTGCACAGCACCTCCTGCAAGGGATTATAGAGGTCTAGTCGCTTGTCTTCCTCACTTCCTGTGACCATCTCTAGAGCAGGGCCTGTACATCTCTTGGATTCCTGCCATGTGGTCAACTTCTTTAAGGCAAGAAAAAGAGGGATAGGGAGTGGATATTCTTGGATCCCATTTTTATGTGCTTTACATTTTATCTATCTTACTTTAACTATTAGTACAACCCTGTGAGAGGTAGAACGTTATTATTGCTCTTTTATATGGAGAAATGGAAGTCGACAGAGACAAAACTGGTTTCCCAAATGTACATGGA